GTATGTATGTATGTATGTATGTATATGTGCGTGTGTGTTCCAAAGTAAATTGTGTCATAATTGATTTTTTTTTCAGGTTGGATTTATCAAATTGTTCACTGACTACAGTTGAAGACCTTTCAGGGGCCTCTGAAGTATTAATGGTGTAAGTACATTACAGTGCCAGGGAACGCTATTCATATCCCTTGGTTATTTTCACATTTTGAGCATTTTTCAACATACCGGTATTTGTTTATTGGAATTTTATGATATGCCAACAAAAACTAGTGCTTAAATGTAAAATCATACATGTATACATGCTATGGTAAGCAATGGGATATTTTGAAGTGCCGCTTACAGCTTTACACATCAAAATATTGAAACATTTTCAAATGTCTCTGTACTCTGTAGTTTCTGTAGTTTTTTTCTTATACTTTAGGATTTATTAAGTACTTTTTGTTGTTCTATTACATAAAACAGTAGTGAAGGTATTTAGTTGCATTCCTTCCTAAGACATATTTATTGCACTGAAAACAGTTTTTCACAGTTTTTATTTTGATTATCTGTCTTTGGTCTTGCATAACGGTTTTTTCTTTTTTTGTGGTTTAAAGAGATCTGTCACTGAATCCCATTGTCAACATCAGTGAAAAGGTCTTCTTAGGATTTCTGGACCTAAATTATGTGTAAGTGGTATTTAAGATTTCACATCTTGTCTGTATATGAATTGTTATGAACAATTTTTTTAACAGATTCAAATGCCTTTTTAGATTTTTACCAGAGGACATAGGTTGTCCGGGCGGGAACGTTTCATGGCAACAAGTGACAGTTGAAAAGGGAAGACGGTTTTGCAAGGGCCAGACAAACATGTGCAACCAGACAAGACAGATGTGTAAGCCATTTTTTGACCACATAAGCAAAAATTTAAACCTTTTTTTTTTTTTGCAATGCTGACCTTTGTTGATATGTATCTGGAATCCATAGCAATGAGCTGTCCGGAAAATTCCCTTTGCTGTCCTGATGGTCCTGGCTTCTTTCAGTGCAAATGTTCTGAAAGTTATCATGGATATAAATGTCTCCGACAGGTCAGTTAATAAAGCCATTTTTTTTTTCTTTATTTGTCATTCTTATGTTATTATGACTAACAAACAAATTTTTCAAACTTTCCTACAGGGTGACTTCCCACCCCTTAAGGTGTTTGGGCCCCTGGCAGGATCAACGGTTCTGATCTCCTTCCTGCTGTGGGTCACGCAGAGACGTAAAGCCAAATCTCTCTGAAGATAAGTTGCTTTTAATAAGACAAGAAACTGACTCCTGAAAGAGAAAATAATGCTGACAAAGCCTGCTGTGGCAGCATGCTCATTTGTAAACATTTTACAATGTTTTTTGTTGTTTTTTTTTCGGTGCCGCTTTGACAAAAAAAAAAAAACTGACGTTTTAAATATAAATGATGCAATGTGATTTTAGGAAAGAATACGTTTTAAAATATGATCTAATATCTGACAGGGATGATGACTATTATTGCCTCATTTTTATTCTAATAAACTAGACTGACAGATTTAAGTCATCTATGGATGACTTTTGAACAAGTTCTTATTGTGTGCTATTTTACACACCAAAAAAAGATTATATGCACATTTCAAAAAAAGAAATGCAAAAAGTTATTGCATGCTGACAGTGTGGTTTACTTTGGGGCATAAAACAGTATTATAAAATTTGAACCAATAAAAGCGATAGTTTGGTTGCACTTCAGTAACGATTTTAACCTTTTTAATTCAGCCGTATTTTGGTTCAAATGTACTCAGGTGGACAAACTTTTCAGTTATTTTATTTATTTAAAGTATATATTCTTTTGTGGCAGCCTGGGCGACCGCAGATTTGTACTTAATGACATTTTCTTGCAATAGTAGAATTGCCTTCTTGTCATTGTTGTCAATGGGGATGTCTTTTGAGGTTGATTGTTCAGAGTTCTCATGCTTCCTCCTGTTCAGGGTTTTAATAAAGATTTTAAAATATCAGCGTCCATTTTTATTTGCATTTTGAGAAATTGTATTACTTCATTGTTAGATTTTATAAGAGACATCACTACAAAAACGATCTAGAAATAAGTAAAACTTTCTTAAATCAAGTGTATTTACTCTTAATTTTAAAAACATATATAAATCTGACCAGCGTAGCCAAACTAGGCAATCTGAGCTGTTTGTGAAACATAATAGCCTAATCATTTGAAGCTGATGGGCGTAAAGGTTTAATATTTCCTTAACCGATACGACAGTATAACTTCACTAAATTCCCAATAGTACTGATTTCAATGCAGGGGATGAAAGCACAAGACCTCATTAGATTATGACTATTCTATCAATTCTACTTTATTCTCATAATATAAGAACCTACCAAAAACATATTCTCTTTGGTTTGGCCTTGATACTTCGTCGTACTTATCAGATGTTTCAGTCTTACCCAAAAATAAATCAGAAATATTACCCAGGTTTTAGATGATGGAATTAAGATTTACAATTTATCACTGCACCTGTGCAGCATGGTTTCTCATATTGCTAACAAATAAACTGTTAGTTTTCTGTGTCTAATTTGATCTCCGAGACTCTTGATGAGGGCTGCTCAGTGGATAGAACTGCCGCCTTGCAGAAAGAAGGTTCTGGGTTTGATTCCCGGCCCAGGGTCTTTTTTCTGCATGTTCTCCCTGAGCATGCGTGGGTTCCTTCCAGGTACTCCGGCTTCCTCCCACAGTCCAAAAACATGACTGTAAGGTTAATTGGCTTCTCTAAATTCTCTCCTTAGGTGTGAGTGTGTGAATGGTTGTCTCTGTGTTGCCCTGCAATGTATTGCCGACCTGTCCAGGGTGTACCCCGCCCTTAGACAGCTGGAGATAGGCACCAGCACCTCTCGCGATCCCGCTTGGGATAAGCGTGACGAAAATGGATGGTTCTTGATGATTTGTGAACTTTGAATACTAAGCTGCAGAATTCTTGCCCTTCTGGGTATAAAACAATTACACCATGTGTTTAAAGTAATCATGGTCTCCAAAAAAGGAGTATTCAAGCACCACTCCCTTGAATGCAGCAACCAAAGCATAACCAGTGTGTAAGAATATTCGTGTGCTTTTGAAGCACATGAGGATCATGTGCTGACTGTGGGGGAAAAAAACTACCTTTGTGCTTGTTTATAAGATCAGGTTTTTAAAATAAACCGTCTTTCAGAGCTTACATCCCATGCCATAGAGGACTACCTAAACATGTTCTTTAGATGAATTTATTTATATGTACCTTCTGGCATATTTCAGTCTTAAAAGAACCATAAAAAAAATAAATGAAATCAATTTAAAGGTTTTTGCCATTTCAGATATACATTTATTGCATGCTGAAAGAACGACCTTGCCCGTTTGTGTGCAAGCGTTCGAGCACACAAGCCGATATGGAGGACGATCACTGATCGACATTTTTGACCCGCAGCACCACGGGGACAGAAGTGCAGGGGATCATTCCCAACTCTGTAATGACTAGATCTACGAAATCAGGAGGCGTCACATCATACACAAGGTTCAGGAGACCCAGGGAGGACTCCTGCTGCCAGTTCTCCAGCTGGGTCCGCCCCTTACGCGTCACAATGAGGTCATCAGGGTCATCTGGAAAAAGACAATGAAGATGAACAGGCGACCCATCAAAATGTTGATAAGTTAGAACAAATGCATTAACATACCCAGTTCATTAGATACGAATGAGTCTGTCTGCACCCTCTCACAGAACTTGTAGGTCTCACAACAAACCAGCACAGGCACGTTAAAGGCTTTAGCCACTAGAGCTATTTGGGAAGTTCCCACCCGAGACATGACGTAACCATTGGCCAGAAGGGCATGTGCTCCCAGGAACACCTTGGACACCTAAAACAAAGGTAAAAAAGAACAACTTTTTATAGAGGAATGTTTGGAGTAACTGAAATGACACTAAAATATAATGGACTCTTCCTGATTACCTCTGGAAGGATATAGGATACAGCTGAGATTAGGACATAGGTGCAGCTGATGCCTCTCTGTACCAGCCGCCTCAGAGCCTCCCGGCCCTCTAGCCGAGGCCGGCTGTCTACAACTATAACACGAAACTTCCTTTTTTTCTCAAAGGCCTCACAGAGGATGTGGTTGACCAGGGAAGAGCTGACAGAAACACACAGAAAAATCAGGTCATGTAAAATTGGAGTAAAATGGTGATAAAAAAAGAAGAAATAAAGAAAGAAAATAACCATTTTTTTTTTTATAAACACTTAGGCTCAAAAAGGCAATTATCAAAATAATGAAAGGTCAGAAAGATGAGCCTTACCAGCCATAAATGAGGATGACATCACCATCACTGATCTTTTCTATGGAGGACTCTGCTATAGCTGTAGCAGCAAGATTGATCTTTTCATTGTACGAGTCGATGCATTGGAGCAGATGCTCTTTTGCCTAAAACAGAAAACACAGCTCTTGATTACAAATGAAAACAACCTGAGGATTTGTTGACCCTACACTCAACATCTCCCATCATGTTTAATCAACCGTTCCTACTGAAAAGGACGGCTGATACTGCGACCACCGTGTCTAAAGGTGGTGTATTCAGGGTAAATTAGGTATTTTTCAGGTGTTTCACAGTAAAACCTTCAAAATACCTGTTGTTAAACCTTGTTAATTAATTTATAGACAGAGCTTCGTAAAGTTGGGGGAAATCTGTGAGGCTTGTTCCTCCGGACTTGTTAAATGTTATACAATGCAAAAGCTCTGACATATTCCCTGGTACTGATTCTACTAATGAAAATGAACCCAGGTCTGTGATGGAAGAAGCGCTAATGGAGACATAAGGGCCCTGAACTGAGCCTACAGAGGAAAGACTGGAATAAAGAAGTGGGTTAGCAGCCTTATTGCTGTGATGTACATAGAAGTGGAAAAGTTTGCAGCCAAACACAAACCTCTTCCTCCTTGCACTGACTGGAAATATTGGAAATCTCCTTCTTGATGTATTTGATGGCGTTGCCCATGCTGGCTGAAAGAGGGCGACACTGATTCAAAAAACTGAAGGAAAAAAAAAAAAAAGAAAAGGCAAAATGTATTTTAGACAAAAAAGAAAATGATCAATAATCCTAGTTGAATAAAACGTAATTCAGACAATCGCTCTTTATATTTTTTAAATACCTAATGTAAGGTTTCAGCCTGTTGACCAGGTCTCTCGATAGCTCCTCATTGGGGGGTGTAGTATAGTCCCTTATTACCTGAGGAGGATGGCATAAAAAGTTACATTTTAGGGTCATCTTTGGGTTTTCCAGACTGGTTCTTCCTCGTGGGACCCGGTCGGGCCCAGCCCAAATGGAACGGTGGAATGTCGCCTCTCTGGGGGGGAAGGCAAGTCATTTTTTCTTAAAATAAGTGCATTTGTTCTTGGATTGAGGAGGTAAAAGAGACATTTTGCCAATGGAACAAGACATATTCCACTTAAAATAAGAAAACACAATTGCATTGTCTTACTTCAAGTGCGTATTATCAAATTATCTTTATTTTAAGAGTAAAAATACTCCATTGGCAAAGTTACCTACTCAAATTAAGAGCAAATACACTTAATTAAGAAAATGTAAAAAATATTTCTAGATCGTTTTTCCAGTGTGCGGTGAAGAGATGGCGGAGTGAAAAGGCAAAGCTCTTGATTTATCGCTCGGCCTACGTATCTAGCCTCACCTACAGTCATGAAATCTGGATCAGGACCAAAAGAATGAGATCCAGGATACAAGCAGCCAAAATGAGCTCTCTCTCTGCACAGTGACTGGGTATTCCCTTAGAGACAGGGTGAGAAGATCAGTCCTTCGGGAGGAGCTCCAATTAGAGCTGCCCGTCTTCCACATTGAAAGGAGTCAACTGAGGTTGCTCGGACATCTTTTTCAGATGCCCCCTGGCACATCCCACTGTGGGAAAGGCCTAGAGGATGACCCAGGGCCCGCTGAAGGGGGACTATGTCTCTCGGCTGGCCTGAGAGCAGCCTTGGGCTTCCCCCAGCAGAGCTAGAGGAGGTGTTTGTGGAGAGGTCTTGGAATCTCTGCTGAGATTGCTGAGCCTACGACCCAGTCCAGAAAGAAGCGGGGACGAGGAGTATGAGTTAAAGAAAAATGTCCGTTCAAAATGTTGGACTCAGAGGGTCAATATACCAAAAACAAAACCAAATGGTCCAGTTATGTCAAAAAATAAACCAATGAATACATCTCGAAGATAAACTAAAGATGTGATGTCAACAGTTTAATAAACATACAATGTAAAAGTCATGCATATTTAACTAAAGAAAATAGATTTAATCTTTTGTGAATTTAAAATGATCAAATCAATTACTACTATTTCCAGAACCTGCATTCATGGATGAATACCAGGTAGAAAACACTATCTTTTTGACTGAATCAAGTCAGAACACCCTGATTCTGGCGACATCTAGTGGTTCTTCATATAACTTAAGAAAAGAGGAGACACGGAGGATGTATGCAGTGTGCTTGGATATAACTACTCAAACCCCAAATAGTTCAGAGTGTCGTATTGCATTGTTACCATTAAATCACCACAGATATTACACTGTACTGGTGTTTAGCAGCGAATGAGCCTGAGAACGAAGACTGAGGACAGAGAATAGCATTTGGATCAGCACCTGTTTGAAGGCATGCAGAAGGGCAACTGAGCGAGCATTGGATCCCGCTACAATGCCCTGTGAATACTGGAGGCCCAGTCGAACAATAGCGGGATGTATCACCGTTGAAGGAATGCTGCAAACAATAAAACACATTCAACATTTGACTTATAGGTTTGAACATGGTGACAGCAAACTGAGATTTTTGGGAGCAAACTGAATAAATCAAGGCAAAAAAAAAAAAAAGCTACTGATGAGCTTACCTGAGCTGTTGTGTTAGCGGGGCTTTGCGGCTGTACTGGTGGAGATGAGAAAACAAGCTGACTTTGTAGCCATAGTCTGAGCGCAGAGGGATCTGAAACAAAGATGCAAAAATAAATAAATAAAAAATTACACTTACAGAAACTTGGAAAAATAAAGAAGCCAAAAAAACCAAAAAAAAAAAAAAAACAATCAGATTTTTCTATTTCCTCTGCAAACATAATTAAAACATGCTTAAGTGATTTTGCAGGAGACCTGAGTCCTGAGAAGCAAGAAGCTTAGATCGGTAAGCAGCACTGCAAAACAAAAATACTGGAAAAAATTTGAATACAGCCACATCCAACACACTAGTTATAACAATAAAAAACAACAAAAATTTATTAGCAAACATTTTAAAGGGTCTAAACTCGACGGCTTATACCTTTCTAGCTGAATTTTGCCCTGGTGTCTGGAAAACAATGTTTATATCATGACATGCAGTTCTAACTACCAGCGACTCTTTAGATCTACTATGAAAACAATTGTTAAACAATTAAAAGGTAGATTTGTTATGATATGACAACAAAACTAATACACATACTATTATTACTGTCTATCACTGATGATGGCATCAAATACAGAGCACCTTGCATCACTGGTCATATAGTTTTTATATATTGCCAGATTACAGCCACATATTTCACTGCATTTAATAGGAATTTTGTGTGACAGACAAAAAGTGGCACATCATTTATAGATCGAGGGTTTCAAATGTTTTCACAAATGGAAAAAGTTACAGGCAAACATTTATACATTTGTCCCGATGACCTTGGTTCCCCTTATTTTCACTGCAATCAATTGTCCTGGAAAGTCTCAATAGACATTTGTTGAATAATATATGATAATATATACATTAATTTGTGGAGGAGAGGACAAATGAGGCTTATTGTAGGATGCTAGCTTTGATGGAAAACTAATACCCAATACTGGTCAAAACACACCCGTAGTATTGGGATAACATGGCAAAGCTTCTGTCTTGTTAAGGGGAACCTTTTCATTACAAGAAAAAAAAATCAAGCTGACAGGAATATGGATGGGGCTAAATAAGCAATCTTGAAAGAAGACCCGTCAAGAGCTGCAAAAGACTTTAGGTTAACCCTTCAGCTGGACAATTACACTAAACATGCTGCAATAGACTGGTTTCAATACGAGCATATTTATGTTTTAAAGTAACTCATTTAAAGCCCCATCTTTAATTTGATAAAAGGCATTGTTGGACTAAAAAATAAAACAAATATGTTGGTGGATGCTTTTGATTTTTTTTGGTAAAATATCTGACAACCATATACAATTTTTCCTCCACTTAATGATGCACCACTTTGCCTAAATCTATCCTAACTTTCAGGAACATGAAATAAAGTTTGTAGCTGTAAGATGGCAAATGAGAACAATTAAAAAAGTGTGAATACTTTCACAAGGCACTGCTCCTGACTTGATTGAATTTCTTTAAACAATTTATAACATTGAATCCATCTGACCTGTTGTCTTTCCAACTTCTTTGCCAGTTTCTTTAAAACTTCGGGATTGTCGACTTGAATGTGTTCTGGGAGCCTTTTCACCACTAAAAAACAAAGCAAAACAGTCAAATCTATTTTTACTCAACCTAAAAAAATGAGCAAACATGATTCTGCCTCAGTTGGATAAATGTTATTTTATCTCCTCAGATCAACTATACAGTTAAACTTCAGTCAAATCGGTTAACTGCTGTGATAGTTTATTTTTAGTTTGTGGGTATAAACTGTTACCTGGCTGCAGCTCACTCGTGACTCCTTTGGGTTTGCTTGCAGCACCTTGCTGTCCAGGTTCTCCTTTCTTGCCCTGTTTACTGGCTCTCTCAGCCTCTTGCCTGGCTCTCCGTTCAGCTTTCAGTTCAGCTTTACTCTTAGCAGGCTTATCTGTGGGGGTGGAAGCTGGGCTGGGAGCATCTGAGGCAGGCACAGAAACTGGAACAGGCACTGAGGAAGGAGCTTGAGAAAAGAACAACACATTTAAGGATAAAAGAGTGCTTACAGAGGGCGCTTAAGATTTTAAATATCACAGACAAACATCCCGGAAGTAAGTTTACTTTTCTGAGCTGTGGATTGTGTTGAAGGCTGTGGTGCTGAAGCCGCTGAATTGACAACCTTCTCTTCTGAAGCCTTTTCCTCCTTTTTTTCTTTGTTTTTCTTCTGCTGTTTCTTCTCCTTCCTCAGCCGCTGCTTCTCCTCTTTGGTCAGCTCTTTCCCTTCAATCTGTTTTAACATTTCAGGATATCGTGTCACCACCCCAGCTAACTAACACCAGGCTGTAGCAAGTTTAAAATGACGAAAGTTAACCAACCTTCGCACGTTCGATGCCATCATTCTTGTCATTTCCATCTGCAAAGAACAAAAATCAGAAATAAATAATTAAATTAGCTGTATTAAGATGAATCAGATGGCCCTGATTAATATATATGATGTTGTTAAACACCTTAATTCCCCAACTTTATAGAGTGTTAACATATTTTGCAGTGGAGATTTTCATCCATGATAAAAGCCTTGCATTGTTACCTATTATTATATATATGAAGTATCAATAACCATTAAAGTATAAGTATAAAGAAAATGATGCAACACCGTTACAATGTCTAATATTAAACTACACTATCTATGCTAACGTTAGCAATACTTGCATCTGGAAATTATGAGTCCGTTAAAGGAGGAAACTGCGCCTAATTAAATCTAGAAGACTAGCAACATTTTACTAAAATAACAAAAAGGTTAAACCGAACAAAAACAGCGCAGAAATGATCAAATGAGCAGCTTTTACACATTCCTAAACTCACCTGTCACACGGCTGTCGGCCATCTTTACGATACGCCTTCACTTCTTCTGCTGCGGCAAAAACCGTGTTCGGCCCACAGCGTCCTCTTGTGGAAGCACAGAAGCTTCACTCTAATTCAACAACTTTTTTTTTTCTTTCATATTACCATGGTGTGTGCTTTTGCTGTAGTTTTAACACTTGCCAACTACTCATCATTCATCCATGCACTTTATATGTATATTCAGCGTGTGTTTAACAGAAGTTCAGATTTAGAAAGAAAAATAAGCGCAAAGTAAGTGGATTGGAGCATAAAACAGACAATTGGAGCATAAAACAATTTTGACAAGAAGAAAAACAAAAAACATTTAAATTAAAAGAATAAACCAAGGAGGAGAACATATAAACAATTAGAATTAATCTGCTATTTACCATTAATGTCACATACTTAAATCCAGCAATCACCTAATGTTCAAGCAAAGCTAAGCCAACATTGTAAAAGTTCTTTTTTGGAATGTCAAACTTGAGTCTCAACATCAAATTTTTTTTTTTTTTTAAACCCAAAGACATTTTTAATCAAATACACTAATGCTGGAAGTGCTTCTTGGTCATTTATGATACCAGCAATAAGGAGGTCCTTGGTGCAATTCTCATTTGGCGATTTTCTTTTTTTTTCTGTCCATTTGTGAGTTTTCTATAATTATTTTTTTTTTCACTATTCACAGACAAGACATGTATATTTGAAACATTTGCAGGTTTAATTGCTTAGAGGGGGCTATGTTTGTTTATTTTAGTTTTTGTTTTTAAAATGTAAAAAATGTTAGTATTTGTTTTTTTTTTAAAAACCTGTGAGCTGTCCAGTGTGTGAACAATTCCTTCTCCTACTTTGCCATTAAGCCTGGCGATTAATACACTAACCCATTTGAGCAAAGGCACTGAATAAATGAATAATCCTTTGAAATATAATAAACAAACATTTAAAAATGTAAGACATTAAACGTCTCCTGTTTCTTTATTTGACAGTTGAAATTGTCTTCAATAAATGTAATCTGGTCCTTGTGTATTTTATCCCATTTTATTCATATAAAACCCCTTTTGATACCCATTGAACCAATCGTTGAGAAAAACTGTCACAAAAAATAAAATATTCTCCATTTGTTCTAAGTATATTAGGATGTCGCATGACCTAACTTTTAGAAATAATTGTTTTAGACTTAAGGTGTACGCATCATGTCTGAACATACATTAGAAGTGAAATAATATAACTAAATAGATATAAACTGAAGCAGGAATAGAGTTTTGAATTCATTTATGTTTACCCTCATAATTTCAACATTTTTGGACAGTTTCTTTCAACAGAGACCACAATCTTTGATTGGCTTGATTGACAAATTATGAGTTCATTTTACCGGTGCTCTCCAAGGTACTGATTCAAACTTCTTCTATCCTTAGACATTTTATTAAGTAGAATAACTTGTATTTTTTCTTTTATAAGGGCGTTTTCACCATATTAATGTTTTTTTGTATGTACAGAATTAAATAAGACATAGAGAATAATGTAGTGTGAATAGAAGCCATGAGTCTTAGAAGACGATTCTGCTTTTTTATATTGTCAATGGTTAAGTTTGGTTAACTTTAATAGAGATTTTCTACCCTACTTATCTTTATTGCTTTTTCTAAGCTCATGTGATGCCCTGAGTGATGCTTTTGCTCACTGGGAAAATATTCTCTATTAGCACAGCAAAGTTTTCTGTCTGTCTAAAGATCTTTTAACATTTTTGTATTAGTGATGACCAACATGTTTCTTGTCTAAACAGGTAAAACATTTTTGCAGCAGATATCTGATTTGGTCGTAAGGGAATATTTCTATTTTGAAAAGATGTGAA